GGGTGGCCTTGGTCATGTCCTTCTAGGGTAATCTCTCAGTTCGTCCAATGTTTTGGCAACATTAATGTGCTAACATTGCTGCAAAGTTAAAAAAACAGTGTCTTTTGCCATGTTTTTCAAGATCAACCTCCAAATTCCTGCAATTTCATAACAACTTGAATGAGTAAACATTCATATGTAGTAAAAAACAATGTCCTTAGCCATTTCTTTCAAGATTAAACTGCCAGTTCATACCATTTCACAACAACTTGAATGAGTTAACATTGTAACAAAAAGTATCCATAGCCATGTCTTTTGAGATCAGTCTTCCAGTTTATGCAATATCTTGACAACTTAAAGGAGTTAATATTGATATGAAGTTAAACAAGCGTCCTTGGCCATGGTTTTCAAGATTAAATCCCAGTTCATGGCATCTCTTGACAACTTGAATGAGTTAACATTTTGATAAACAGTGTCAGTTGTCACGTCTTTCAAGATCAATCTTCTGGTTTATGCAATATCTTGACTATTTGAAAGTGTTAGCATTGAAACCAACAGCGTCCTTAGCAATGTCTTTCTAGATTAGTCCTCCAGTTTCTGCAGTTTCTTGACAACCTGAATGTCACTTGGTGTTAATGATGCCTGGTTAGCTTTCTCAGATATGTTGATGTAGCCCTCAGTGCTGAGTGCATTTGACATACCTTGGACATGGTTAGGTTTATCCTTGCCTCTCAGCAAGCTGAAGACGAAAAGGTCCAAATAAAAAACCCCACTAGAATCAAAGACAAACTCAAGGCTAGCATCTAAGGACAACAAATGAGCAACCTAGTTGGTTTTGAAACACCAAAAATAGACTGGACTTCTGGACCCAACATGCCTCAATGACCACAGCACTTTTGACAGAAGTGCGAATTGTTATTTGATGGCCTACTTAAAGCCCGCTCAAGCAAACAAAGATGTTGATACGTACTGCTTTGGACCATATATTATGGTCTCGACTTATTCAACACATAGAATTTAGGCCAAGAAGACACAAACAAGCTCAATGAATATTGGGAGTGATTTAAGGAACACGTAAAACTACAGTCAAATCACATCCTTAACCACTTCCATCTTCGAAATCTGAGACAGAACAGACAACCCCTTGATGATTTCTTGACAGAGACCAAGCTGCTAATCCAAAACAGTGGCTACTTGTCCAAACTCCATGACGAATTACTGAGAGACGCCCTTATATTTGGCGCTGATTCTGACAATGTGCGAAAGAAATGTATCACCAAAGGAAAAGATCTTGTGCTCAAGAAAGCCAGGGAAATTGCTCATACTGATGAAGCTACAAAGGTACAACTACAAGTGATGTCAAACGAAACAGACATGCAGGTCAACTCACCACACCAACCCAGAGGGAATGCTGAGACTAGCCACAGAAGTCAAAGAGATGACAAAGCCAACCATAAACAAAGACACAACAAACTCTGCAATTGATGCAGCAGCAAGCCACACACAAGCAACAAAAAGTGCCCAGCCAGTGGTGCTGAGTGCCACTATAGCCACGAACACGGTCATTTCAGCAAGGTTAGCCAAAAATGAAACCAAGTACATGGAATGCAGAACCATACAGCTAGCAAACAAGAAAATATCTCTGACTTGAAGATTGATGATATATTCCTAGGATCACTTGAAATTGACGATGTAAACAACAACGACAACCACGACAAAGTTGAAATCACAGTCGATGTCACCAGCAAACCCTACCACAAGAAAGCTATCCTGATAGTATGCAAAATAGAAACAGGCACTGAGACTAATGTGATATCTAAAACAAAGTTTGACAAGATTATTGCCTCTCATAGTGATAAAGCACTTAGACCACCTCAGATTCTCAGAGCCTATGGTGGCCAAATGATCGAACGCATGGGTACATGCCAGCTGTTTATCCACTACAAAGGCAAGATAAAGGAAGTACCCTTGACAGTAATCGATGTGCATGGACTGGCCATGCTAGGATTAAAGACATGTGAAGAACTAGGACTTGTTAGGTACAACTTCAGCAACTCATGACAAATGTCCTGTTACGAAGGATAAACTTTTACAAGATTACAAGGACTGTTTTGAAGGCATAGGTACCTTTAAAATGGCGCCATACCACACCACCTTAGACCCAGGAGCAGAGCCAGTTGTGCACCCACCTAGAGCAGTTCCTGTACACCTACGTGAAATGTTCAAAGCTGAACTCTATAACATGGAGGAACTCGAAGTCATCGTAACAGTTGACGAGCCTGCTGACTGGGTTAACAGCGTAGTACTGAGCGAAACTGTCAACAATAACAGAGAGATAACCAAGCTGAGGGTGTGTTTTGACCCATGAGACCTTAAATGCATAAAGCGACAGCACTACCACATTTCAAATCCTGCTCCTGACAACCCTGTAAAGTGTTGTGTTGTTTAATTCAAGTCATTTATTTGAGGACTCAATGCAATTACAAAGGCATATGGCGGGAAAGATACTGCAGGTGACGAT